GGCAATCGTCGTCATCATCATCATCGTCAGTGTCGTCAGTGTCGTCAGTATGGCCAGTATCGTAGTCATCGTCGTCGTAGTAGTCGTCATCGTCATCGTCGTTATCGTCATCATGCGCGTCACCGCGTCCATCGTTACCCAAACGATCGCCATCGCTGCCTCCCCCACTCCTCTTCCTCCTCCTCCTCCTCCTCCTCCTCTTCCTCTTTCCCCAAGCGATCGCCATCGCTACCTCCCCCACTCTTCCTCCTCCTTCCCCAAGCGATCGCCATCGCTACCTCCCCCAATTCTCTCCTTTTGCGCGCGCGGCGCGGGCGCGCGGCGCGGCGCGGAGGAGGGAGGGAGGGAGGGAGGGGGAGGGAGGGAGGGAAGGAGGTAACTTACAAGTTACTTATAAGTACCTCATAAGTAATACTAAGTGATGGAGCCTAAAATGTGTTAAGTAACTTACAAGTACTTATATGTAACTTACCCCGCTCGGCGATGGATGGGAAATAGTTAGAAGTAGCGCAAGTAACTTATTTCCGCACGAGGAGCACTTGAAAACATATGCCCTTAGTTAGGGAACAAACTCAACATATACTGTTACTTAACACAGAACAGAAGTAACTTACACCCAGCTATAGGTAGCTCGTAAGTACGCCTAAGATCTTGAAGCCTTTAAGCAGGCCTCTGGAACTCTGTTTTTGGGACCAAGCACTCGACAATTTCTGGCCTGACACCAACCGATACGCCCCATCTGGCCCCCCACCGCGCCCCGGCATCCCCAGGCCTCTGGAACTCTGTTCTTGGGAGCCCACACTCGACAATTCCTCACATGAAACCTACCGATACCCCCCACCTTCGACAATTTCTGGCCTGAAACCTACGGATACCCCCCATCTGGCACCCCACCGCGCCTCGGCATCCCCAGGCTTCCGGAACTCTGTTCTTGGGACCCCGCACTCGACAATTGCTGGTCTGGAACCTACCGATGCACCCCACCTGGTCCTCCACCGCGCCACGGCATTCCCGGGCCTCAGGAACTCTGTTCTTGGGGCCCCGCACTCGAGGCTTTCTCGCCTGGAACCTACCGATACCCCCCTCCGGGCCCCCCACCTCGCCCCAGCATCCTCACCCACGGCAGCTCTGTTCTCGGGGCCCCCCAGCCCGCAACTTCTCGCCTGGAACCTACCAGCGAAGGCGGGCGACGCGATCTTCAAGAAGCTCGGCTGCCCTCCGCGGCCCACGAAGGGCAGCGAGGGTGCCACGACGGGCGACAGCGGGGCCACGAAGGGCTGCGACGGGGCCACGAAGGGCAGCGAGGGGGCCACGAAGGGCTGCAACGGGGCCAAGAAGGGCAACGAGGGGGCAACGAGGGGCTGCAACGGGGCCATGAAGGGCAGCGAGGGTGCCACGAAGGGGTGCAACGGGACCACGAAGGGCAGCGAGGGGGCCACGAAGGGCTGCAACGGGGCCACGAAACAAAGCGAAGGGGCACGAAGGGCTGCAACGGGGCCACGAACGGCAGCGAGATCCCGACTCCAAGGAAATCTGTCAAGGAGTCCTAAGCGTGATCGCGACTCCTGGGTGCCTGGGTGTCGGGAGCGCGGCGCTTGAGTAAATTGCGAAAATTCCAGCGCAAGGGCGCTATCCTTCAGTAAATTGCAAGCAAGTCTCCAGCGAGAGCGCGACTCCAGAGCGCCGGGAGAGCGATTCCTGAATAAATTGTCAGGAAGTCCCAACCGAGAGCGCGATTCCTGAATAACATGCGAGGAGGTCTCGGGCGGGAGCGGGGGTCCTGGCTACATTGAGGAAGTCTCAGGCGGGAGCTGCTGTTGTTGTAACCCGGGGGCCAGGGGCCCAGTTTGAGCCTCAAGACTTTCCCTCACAAAAAAACCAGGTGTGGGCGTCGAGGGGCACACTTTGATTGAGAAAAAACAGTATACACTGGTGGGGGGATCAACAATATTCTTTTGATATGAAAGTTGCATTACATTATCCCAGTGCGACCCTACCTAGGAGTTGGAGCATCTGGGAAAACAACATCTACATCTACACCGACAGCTACATTAACATCTACACCTACGCTATGCTAAGCTGCGCTATGCTATGCTGCGCTGCGCTGCGCTGTGCTATGCTATGCTATGCTATGCTATGCTGCGCTGTGCTATGCTAAGCTAAGCTGTGCTATGCTGCGATATGCTATGATATGCTGTACTGTGCTATGCTATGCTGCGTTATGCTACGCTATGCTATGCTATGCTATGCTATGATGTGATACGATGTGCTATGCTATGCTATGCCATGCTAATGCTGCGCTAAGCTAAGCTAAGCTGAGCTAAGTTAGCTAAGCTAAGCTAAGCTAGGCTAGGCTAGGCCAAGCTAAGTTAAGCTAGGCTAGGCTGGGCTAGGCTAAGCTAAGCTAAGCTAGGTTAAGCTAAGATGAGATAAGAAACGCTAAGCTAAGGGGACGTCACTGGGGGAACCACGGGGCGGATCCTGGGGGAACCGCCCAGGGCGGGCAACACTGCCCCGCCCCTTTTAAGCAAACAAGGTAAGAACCTTCTAGGCAGAGCCTAGGTAGGGAGCAGCAACAACAACAACAACAACAACAACAACAACACCAACACCAACAACAACAACAACAACAACAACAACAACAACAACAACAACAACAACAACAACAACAATTACTAGCACGTGGGGACACTCCGTTCTCACCAGTGCCAGGGTTTTCATAGGAGGCGGGCAATACCCCCACTTTGTGGGGGGGCCGGTTCAAGCTCTACCAAATTTCCAAACGACTCTTCGCCACCACCCACACCCAGCTTCCCGCCCTATGACGTTCGGACACTTCACTTCGTGGCATGCGGACGACCGTGGCTACTATTCAGGGCCCCGCGGCCGACGACGACGGCGTGCGCGCGCGAAGAAAAAACGAATGTGTCCCGCATGGTATTATTTGACAGGGATGATGGCCCTGGCAGGTGCGCAACCGTTGTCGCAGAAGTTCGAAAAAGTTGCTCGCAAAAGCCCGTTTGACAGAAATGTTTAAAAAGTGTTGGGTTTCCTACGAATCCGCAAGAGCGCGCGGGATGAGATTTTGACATTTTTTTGTTGAAAAACCATTGGTTTTTTGATGTTTTTATGTTAAAATCGCTCCGAACACTAAGCTTTTGGAAGGATTTCGTCTTGCGCGCGCGAATGTCCACTTTACCTTATTTTTTGCAAGGGATTCTTGAAATTTGATTATATTAGAACAAGAAATGTCATTTTATAGTGTTTTTTGCAAGGGAAAGCGGGGGGAACAAAACAACCGGATCTTGATCACATCGAATTACCTGAGGCTTCCTCACGAAAATGATGAAAATGTAGCTGCGGCCTAGGCGGCGCAGGGGGGCCGTGCACCAGGGGTCCCAACAATAATTATTCTTTAGAATTAATAATGTTCAACAACAACAACAACAACAACGCAATAAGCAGGATCTTCACCACGGATTCTCACTTTAGCCACGCACCCAGGGACAATGAATGACCGTTCGGCCCCCTCATTCTGACGAAATAATCGGCGCCTGCGGCGGGCTCGTTTTATAGCCTGAAAAATTCTGCGCCTGCGGCGGGCTTCTTCAGAGCCTCGCGGACTCCCGACGTACCCGCCGCCCCCTCACTCTTATCCGCAACTGCGGGGTGCTACGGCAGCTTGAAAAATTCTGCGCCTGCGGCGGGCTTCTTCAGAGCCTTGCAGACTGCCGGCATACCCGCCGCCCCCTCACTCTGATACGCAGCTGCGGGGTGCTACGGTAGCTTCAAAATTTTGCGCCTGCGGCGGGCTTCTCCAGAGCCTCGCAGGCTGCCGACGTACCCGCCGCCCCCTCACTCTGATCCGCAACTGCGGGGTGCTACGGTAGCTTGAAAAATTCTGCGCCTGCGGCGGGCTTCTCCAGAGCCTCGCAACCTGCCGACGTACCCGCCGCCCCCTCACTCTTATCCGCAACTGCGGGGTGCTACGGTAGCTTGAAAAATTCTGCGCCTGCGGCGGGCTTCTCCAGAGCCTTGCAGACTGCCGACGTACCCGCCGCCGCCTCACTCTTATCCGCAACTGCGGGGTGCTACGGTAGCTTGAAAAATTCTGCGCCTGCGGCGGCTTCTTCAGAGCCTCGCAGTCTGCCGACGTACCCGCCGCCGCCTCACTCTTATCCGCAACTGCGGCGTGCTACGGTAGCTCGAGAAATTCTGCGCCTGCGGCGGGCTTCTCCAGAGCCTCGCAGACTGCCGACGTACCCGCCGCCCCCTCACTCTGATCCGCAACTGCGGGGTGCTACGGTAGCTTGAGAAATTCTGCGCCCGCGGCGGGCTTCTCCAGAGCCTCGCAGACTGCCGACGTACCCGCCGCCCCCTCACTCGTATCTGCGACTGCGGGGTGCTACGGTAGCTTGAAACATTCTGCGCCTGCGGCGGGCTTCTTCAGAGGCTCGCAACCTGCCGACGTACCCGCCGCCCCCTCACTCTTATCCGCAACTGCGGGGTGCTACGGTAGCTTGAGAAATTCTGCGCCTGCGGCGGGCTTCTCCAGAGCCTTGCAGACTGCCGACGTACCCGCCGCCGCCTCACTCTTATCCGCAACTGCGGGGTGCTACGGTAGCTTGAAAAATTCTGCGCCTGCGGCGGCGGCGGGCTTCTTCAGAGCCTCGCAGACTGCCGACGTACCCGCCGCCCCCGCACTCTGATACGCAACTGCGGGGTGCTACGGTAGCTTGAGAAATTCTGCGCCTGCGGCGGGCTTCTCCAGAGCCTTGCAGGCTGCCGACGTACCCGCCGCCGCCTCACTCTGATACGCAACTGCGGGGTGCTACGGTAGCTCGAGAAATTCTGCGCCCGCGGCGGGCTTCTTCAGAGCCTCGCAGACTGCCGACGTACCCGCCGCCCCCTCACTCTGATCCGCAACTGCGGGGTGCTACGGTAGCTTGAGAAATTATGCGCCCGCGGCGGGCTTCTCCAAAGCCTCGCAATCTGCCGACGTACCCGCCGCCCCCTCACTCTTATCCGCAACTGCGGGGTGCTACGGTAGCTTTTTTTTCTCACACCTCGCAAGGACGAGGCGACAAAATGAGTCCCACACACCTCCCGAGAACGCAGTCCGCTTACGCCCGAGAGTGTCAGAGGCCAAACGCCTGCAGACAGCGTTCATGGCGTGCTTGCGCTGAAAGAACCACAATGGCTTGTGTTCTCAGCAGAAGGTGCCGGGGATGCAGCGGCCAGCACTGTACATGAGCTGCTACCTTGGGCTGCAGCTCGCTGGACATTGCTGCGTGAAAATGCACTGCTAACTTGGGCTGCAGTGCCACGCAACTAAAAACCCCAACAACATTTCTCCCACGCGGCACTCGAGCGAAAGATGGACATGCTTGGTTCGCGCATGAATTCTCTGTCCTGAGTCCTGAATCCTGAGTCCGCCTAAAATGCGAGGTAGCGCTTGCAGCGCAAATCGGGATTGGTGACGGAGGAATGGTCCCCACCGCCGAGCAAACCACCGACTGGATACCCCGACTTGCCCAAGTTCTTGGCAAACATATTCAGGTAGGGAATGCCTCCGCCAGTACGGCCCCATACGGTCTTCAATTTAATGCTGTGGAAGCTCATCCAGCCCGTTCCCTTTCGATGGGCCTGCGGCTGCTTGGCCGTGTAATGGAAGCCGCCCTCGCGCACGTCGTCCGCCCACTTGCCGGTCACATTAATGGATACAAAGTAAACGTCCGAGCATGCGTCGCCACAACGCTGTGCCACGGCCGCGACGGCCAGGAGCGTCGCGCTCTCCGCTGCAAACTGTGGGACCTCGACCAGCAAGTGCCTGCCGTCTTTGAGGAGATCAAAACGCTCCCCGTGTATATTTACCAGGTGAGGATCCCCGACTGCAGCAGCAATCGCTGCAGGCGTACGGGCTGGCGTAGGGGCAGGCGTCGGCGCCTGAGTTGGTGCTGGCGTCGGCGCTGGCGAAGGCACTGGCGTCGGTGCCGGGGTCGGTGTCATTGCCACGTAGAGCTCGATTTTTTGCACGAGAATCCCGGGGGGGCCGGGATAGCCACCGCCAATCGAATGGAAAGCACCAACTGCGTACCACCAATAATAGAAGGCCACGCTCCCGTCCAAGAGCGCGTCCTGCGACGATCCCTCCAACCCTCCCCAATACAAGCCTGTGTAAGGGACAGACACCGCCTCATAGCCTGCAACTGGCCTGGTTGACTGCTGCCCTGGTGAAGTAACTGGGTTGAGCGATTGCTTCCAAACTTGGTCCTGCGCTCCAGAACCTGGCCAGCTCAATTTGAACGTGAACTTCCCGTCGCCGCTGCGAAAAGTTTCCAGTTGATCCAAAATGGCATAATTGTCATTTCCAGGATCTCCGGCATTTTTCGACCACTCCCCACTGCTGAATAAATACGGGTACGTTTGCCGAGCCAGTAACGTCCAAACCGTAGTGCCCGTGGTACCCTTCGGGGAACTGACGCGGCCGAGGTCGAAGCTGGTGGCGTCCGTGCCGAGCTGCAGGAGCACGGTGTCCTGCTGAGGGTCGACCTCCGCCGCTGCGGTCGTGCCGAAGACGCCGTGGGCGAGGAGATGGATCAGCAAGCACGCTCGGGCAGGCGCCGTCCGGGCCATCGTGGCGTGCACGTCAGAAAGGCAGACTCGGGGAAAATTGGTCCGGTGAGGCGCGTACGTTGGCGTTTCACGTTTGAGCCAGATGGCTACGGAGGGGGTGCTACGGTAGCTCGAGAAATTCTGCGCCCGCGGCGGGCTTCTCCAGAGCCTCGCAGACTGCCGACGTACCCGCCGCCCCCTCGCTCTGATTCCGCAACTGCGGGGTGCTACGGTAGCTCGAGAAATTCTGCGCCCGCGGCGGGCTTCTCCAGAGCCTCGCAGGCTGCCGACGTACCCGCCGCCCCCTCGCTCTGATTCCGCAACTGCGGGGTGCTACGGTAGCTCGAGAAATTCTGCGCCCGCGGCGGGCTTCTCCAGAGCCTCGCAGGCTGCCGGCGTACCCGCCGCCCCCTCACTCTTATCCGCAACTGCGGGGTGCTACGGTAGCTCGAGAAATTCTGCGCCCGCGGCGGGCTTCTCCAGAGCCTCGCAGGCTGCCGACGTACCCGCCGCCCCCTCGCTCTGATTCCGCAACTGCGGGGTGCTACGGTAGCTCGAGAAATGCTGCGCCCGCGGCGGGCTTCTCCAGAGCCTCGCAGGCTGCCGACGTACCCGCCGCCCCCTCCTGATTCCGCAACTGCGGGGTGCTACGGTAGTGAGAAATTCTGCGCCCGCGGCGGGCTTCTCCAGAGCCTCGCAGGCTGCCGACGTACCCGCCGCCCCCTCGCTCTGATTCCGCAACTGCGGGGTGCTACGGTAGCTCGAGAAATTCTGCGCCCGCGGCGGGCTTCTCCAGAGCCTCGCAGGCGCCGACGTACCCGCCGCCCCTCACTCTGATCCGCAAACTGCGGGGTGCTACGGTGCTCGAGAAATGCTGCGCCCGCGGCGGGCTTCTCCAGAGCCTCGCAGGCTGCCGGCGTACCCGCCGCCCCCTCTGATACGCAACTGCGGGGTGCTACGGTAGCTCGAGAACTGCGCCCGCGGCGGGCTTCTCCAGAGCCTCGCAGGCTGCCGGCGCCTGCGGCTACCTTCTGCCGCAGAGGCTCGCAACTGCCGACGTACCCGCCGCCCCCTCACTCTGATCCGCAACTGCGGGGTGCTACGGTAGCTCGAGAAATGCTGCGCCCGCGGCGGGCTTCTGCCGGCGTACCCGAGCCTCCGCAACTGCGGGGTGCTACGGTAGCGTAGAGCCTCGCCTGCCGACGTACCCGCCGCCCCCTCGCTGTGATTCCGCAACTGCGGGGTGCTACGGTAGCTCGAGAAATGCTGCGCCCGCGGCGGGCTTCTCCAGAGCCTCGCAGGCTGCCGGCGTACCCGCCGCCCCCTCGCTGTGATTCCGCAACTGCGGGGTGCTACGGTAGCTCGAGAAATGCTGCGCCCGCGGCGGGCTTCTCCAGAGCCTCGCAGGCTGCCGGCGTACCCGCCGCCCCCTCGCTGTGATTCCGCAACTGCGGGGTGCTACGGTAGCTCGAGAAATGCTGCGCCCGCGGCGGGCTTCTCCAGAGCCTCGCAGGCTGCCGGCGTACCCGCCGCCCCCTCGCTGTGATTCCGCAACTGCGGGGTGCTACGGTAGCTCGAGAAATGCTGCGCCCGCGGCGGGCTTCTCCAGAGCCTCGCAGGCTGCCGGCGTACCCGCCGCCCCCTCGCTGTGATTCCGCAACTGCGGGGTGCTACGGTAGCTCGAGAAATGCTGCGCCCGCGGCGGGCTTCTCCAGAGCCTCGCAGGCTGCCGGCGTACCCGCCGCCCCCTCGCTGTGATTCCGCAACTGCGGGGTGCTACGGTAGCTCGAGAAATGCTGCGCCCGCGGCGGGCTTCTCCAGAGCCTCGCAGGCTGCCGGCGTACCCGCCGCCCCCTCGCTGTGATTCCGCAACTGCGGGGTGCTACGGTAGCTCGAGAAATGCTGCGCCCGCGGCGGGCTTCTCCAGAGCCTCGCAGGCTGCCGGCGTACCCGCCGCCCCCTCGCTGTGATTCCGCAACTGCGGGGCTACGGTAGCTCGAGAAATGCTGCGCCCGCGGCGGGCTTCTCCAGAGCCTCGCAGGCTGCCGGCGTACCCGCCGCCCCCTCGCTGTGATTCCGCAACTGCGGGGTGCTACGGTAGAGAAATGCTGCGAGAGCCTCGCAACCCGCCGCCCCCTCGCTCTGCTACGGTAGCTCGAGAAATGCTGCGCCCGCGGCGGGCTTCTCCAGAGCCTCGCAGGCTGCCGGCGTACCCGCCGCCCCCTCGCTGTGATTCCGCAACTGCGGGGTGCTACGGTAGCTCGAGAAATGCTGCGCCCGCGGCGGGCTTCTCCAGAGCCTCGCAGGCTGCCGACGTACCCGCCGCCCCCTCGCTCTGATTCCGCAACTGCGGGGTGCTACGGTATTTCTCCCCCTCTTGAGCGAGAGAGGCGCGACGGCACGCGGCCCCGCCGTGAGGCCCGAGGGCCGAGGCGGGGTCCGGGCGAGGGGACAGGCCTCCGCCAGCAGCTGGGCAGCTTCGCTGGGCAGGGAGAGGGAACTCAGGAGGAAAATCCTGGAGGCCTCGTGCGGCAACTGAAAATACATATTGGAAGACAAAATGACAAACCAATGTGCAAAAGCCGTAAAACATAGTCGAAAAATCGTCCCCATCCGATCTTTAGACTATCGTTGAATATTCCTCCAGTAGAAGGGCATGCCCGACTTAAGACTGGGAGCCGGGTGGTCTAGCGCGGCAACTGGAGACCCGATGTGCGTCATATCCACGTCGGATGTACGTCGAACTACGTCGGAATTCCGTCGGGTTGACGTCGGACTGACTCCGGACGTCGTCGCGCGAGCTTCGACCCATAGCTTACGGAGCTGACGTGTGGACTCGATAACACTACTGTTACGCACAGCGCGAGGCCTCCTGGATTTTCTTAATAAGGGAAGGGAGACTGCCCTCTGGGCAGAAGCAGGGACAGGGGGAGGGACGAGAGGAAGAATGCAGCACCCATCAACACTCGACTCCACGAAACCCCTTTGCGGCCAACACAGCCTGAGTTCCTAGGGAGACCCAAAGGTACCAATACCGCTACTCCCCAGGCCTCTCCCGGGGTGCGTTCTGACCAGGATGTCGAGGCGAATCCAGCGGTGGCGACGAGGGCCTCCCAGGAAGCCGAAAAATGGGATAACGGGCGAAGGGTAGGGGTCATTTCCTGTTTTGAGTTCCCACTCTTAGCGGGCCCTGGAAACGATAGGGCCGTTTTTTACCAATTCCGTTTTGCAAATTGTTGCTGGTTCCGACGCCGTGTTTGACCGGTTCCGTCGCCGTTTGTTTTACCAATTCCGGCTCCGGTTCCAATGCTGGAGCCATTTGTTGGCCGCTTCCGGTCGCCGTGTTTTTGCCGCTTCCATTTTCACGGGACACTGTTTCGGAACCGGTGAAAAACGCCCCTGCCGTTTCCGGGGTCCACGAAATTCCCACCCCTGGATAAGAACAACTCCCCGGCTTGAAGCGCGCAGCACGAAGCGCGGACACATTCGCACCCCTGCGAGCTACCTACAGCACGCGAATTCACAAAACCACAATGCCTTGGGCGCAGCCCGGCATGATCCAAATCGCCCCGACGCGTCGTCCCCACGATCGCCGGATTACAGCGGAGGCCAATCCACAAGAAACCTTCCACAAAAAACCCAACCCTGAGACCCCAGGACGTCCATTGCTTTTCCGTGTGGGAGCGTCACGTCTTCCATGGCAAGACCATCGAAGCCCAGGAAACCCGGGGCACACTTGAGGCAGGCAGGGTGTTTCCTGGCATGGGCCTCCACTATACAACACAAGATTTCAGTCGCCCCGACGCCTCGTCCTCCTCCTCCTCCTCCTCCTCCTCCTCCTCCTCGATCGCTGTCTTACTCGATCCTGCTCGACAGACCTGCACCGAACGACAGCACTGGCGACGGCAGCGCGGCGAGGAAATCAAGAGCAGGTGACCCCAGTGATTTCGGAAAAAAGGGACAGAGGCAGAGATGACGCATCATAATATGACATGTGAGCGTTTTCTATTCGGCGTTTCGACATTGGGTCGAAGGGGGGGACGGGGGGGGTTTGGCTCCCGACCTCTGCTTAGTGCGACTGTTTTGGACCGTGCGTCCTATGAGGGGGGACCCCACTTGCTCGAAACAGGCGCCAAAAACAGCCAAGATCTACTCTATGGAGGGGGGGGAGGGGGGGGGTGCGAGGGCCCACGCCGATTGGCAAAAGAATGAATAACAAAAACGCTCACCATGTGGGCGAGAACCGAGGCGAGAACCGCTGGTTTCGTGTGGTATTCCAGTCAGTACCCCCTGTGCCCGGATGCACTGAACCCCGACGGAAGGTTGCATGCAAAGGGCCCGCGGCAAAATGACAAGCACCGGACCCTGGGATGCGGAAGTTAACAGCGTTTGACGCCTCGTGTCATCTGGCAGTGGGGATCAATCGCGGCACTGACGGCAAGTGGGGCCCTCCTTCGGCTTCCCGTAGACGAATCTCTTGACGAAAAGCCAAGCGGCTATGATAAAATCAACACCAGCGACGATGCTCCAGGCACTGTCAGGTACGCGGACAGCGATGAGCGGGGCCACCGTGGAAGAGGGGCAAGGGATAAGTGACCACGAACGAGATTTGGATAGCAGGATGCATGTGACATCAATCAGAGGAGTCGATGAGAACGATGAAACCTGATGGGGGAAGCATTGGAACACACTGCCATGCCAGATGCCTGAACCGAGTGAGTTCCAAATTTCAGCGACTTAAACAGGGAAGCGCTTCAAGGTGGACATAGCAAACCAACTAGATGCAGGTGGCTTGAAAGACAGAAAACAAAGCGGAGAGTGCGTGTGACCATCGCTCCCAGCTGATAAAATGCACCATAAAAAATAAGGGCACCACCAACATCTTCTCCGTAGCATTGGCCTGCGATGTAATTCGTTGCCACATACACCAATGACATCATGACCCCCGCTGTGAACAGCGCCAGCATTAGCAGCACGTGACTACAGAGGTCTGGAAGTACCAAAAAACACACTCCCTTGACCAATAATATTGATAGAGGAACAAAAACACGGCATCAACACCACGTTCGTCAGTCCGCATGTATTTCTTGAGCTGGCGCTGCCCCCCCCCCCTCCCACGCCAGCACGCCGCTAGGGGTGGGGAGCGGAGTGCAACGACGATCCAAGAAGTCCGCACGGATCTCAGAAAGTGGATGCTTATACGAGCCGTCCTTCCTCTGAATTGTAGCCATCAAAATCATTGGCTCGCCTCGCCACACCAGCCTCCCAATCATTCTGCTGAAAAAGAACGGCCCCAGGCACATGCCGATGCCGCGTGACGTGGCGAGTAAGCTCTGATCCATGCCGACCTTCTGCGCGATGAAATCCGCCCGCCCT